ATGCCCCTCGGCAACCACATGGGCTGTCACCCTACGAGGTGTTGTTTGGGGGACCTCCCAAAACAGGGTTATACTTTCCTCAACAGTTGTCGTCTTTGCATTCACAGCTTACAGGTTACGTGCAATCTCTGCAACGGGAGCTGCAGAAGATACACCACTGGGTTCGCAAATCGCTCCCGGATCCAAATGCAATAACGGGTGTTCTTTCTATTGAGCCAGGTGATTGGGTCGTCCTAAAGAAACATCAAAGAACTGGACTCAAGCCATGGTTCACCGGACCATACCAAGTCCAGCTGACGACACCTACCTCACTCAAGCTCGAGGGACGAGACAACTGGGTGCACGCAAGCCACTGCAAGAAGCTTTTCAGCTACACCAGAGAATGGGGGTGTCATTTTCCTTTTTCTTTTTGTTTGTATGTCTTACATGTGTGTGAATGGAGGAAAAGATGGCAGATACCCCAACCTTTTATTTAAAATGCATCTGCGTTTAGCCAGAACCGCCAACAAAACCAGCTGTTGAATATGCTCTAAGCCCCCACCCAGTCATCACATGTCCGCAATGGCCGCTGTTCATGCCCTATATGACATCCTTGTCGGCATGAAAAAGCAAGGGACCCCTGGTCAGCCCCCACGTAGACATTTGTCTGTAGAACTTAATGACACATTTTTAGCAGGTAACATCAGTTTCAGTAGCAACATTAGCTCTAGCTCCTGTAGGGCACTCGTCAGTCCATTATGGGTAACTGGGCAGCTAGGCAGCCCTCAGGTGTGCTTTAACATCAGCTTTGGCACAGGTAACAAGTTTGTTGGGACTACCACCTGCGAGGGAGGTGTAACTGTCAATCTGACTAACCAGACTTCCCTTTTGAGTAACCACACTGACCGACCAGACCACGTTTGTTGGAAGGACAGATGTGATGTGCAGACTGAGGGAGCCATCCCCCAGTCGGTGGAACTGTTACTCAGTGCCAGAGGTCGAACGAAGAACTCCTCCTGCTCTGCTCTGACAGGTCCGTACTATTTTCTGTGTGGTTTGGCAGCCTATAGAACATTTCCCCAGAACGCGAAAGGTTCGTGTGCCCTCATAAAGCTAGTCCCCGCATCCTATGTAGTGATGGATCATGAAGAGTTGATGGTCCACAAGAAGGTAAGGATGGCAGGGAGAGTTCGCAGGGAGCTGTTCTCTGAGGGCGACCAGGCATGGGCTTGGTTCCCCTCATGGACCGGTTGGGGAATAGAACTTATGAAGCGCCTGAACAATTTTTCTGTCATCGTGGATAGTATGTTTAACGAGACCGTAGAGGCTGTCAGAGAAAATTGCCCAAGAACAACGGCAGATGGGAATTCTGGTGCTTCAGGAGAAGATGGCCCTTGATTACCTTTTAGCCGCCAAAGGGGGGTTCTGCGAGTTCATCGGAGAGGATTGTTGTACTTGGATAGAAGATACCGATGACAAGGTCCAGGCCTATATGGACAAAGTTAGTGAACTACAGGGAAAAGCTAGAGCTATAGCTAGTGAGGGTTGGAATCCGTTCAAGGGTTTGGGAGGATTGGGAGATTTCCTGTTCTCCATCGGATCTTGGTTGAAGGAAGTGGGAGTGTATGTCCTGATGCTTCTCTTTTTTCCTCTGCCTCTTATATGCCGCGGTGAGATGTTCCTGTTGCCTCATCAGCCGTGTAAGCCAAGCTCGGGCAGACGACCACATCTCCATGCCCGCTCCTGGGATCCCACTCCAACCACTGATCGGAGGAAGACCTCACCAACCAGCCACCATCTCTGCAAGTTACGTCCTGGCTTCCCTCTAATTTATCTCCCTGAAGACCATGTTCTCCAAGACCTCCAAGCAAGCTTCAAGCCTCATCATTGTTTGTGTCTGCGTTTTGGAAAACCGTCTGGGTCGAGACCAGCCTTGTGTGGCCCCGTCTGCAGGGGCAATTTGAGAATCTGCTGCTGGATCTCCCCGGACCACCGTGGGATCACAAGCCCTATTTATACCACAAGTCTGTTTGTGGTTTTTGCAAGAGCCTTCCTGTAGTGAAGGTTCCAACTAGAGATGAGCGAATCGAACTTGGCGAAGTGGAATTCGTTTCGAATATTAGGAAAAATTCGATTCGCACGAATCCGAAAATTAGCAAACTTCGGATGCACGAATCGAATTTTTCCCGATTGGCCGATTTTCATCCTTCTTCTACAGCCGGCAAAAAGTGTCCCTGCAGAGAGCTCCGCTATTTCTGACAGTTCTCTGACAGTTCCTTCACATTTACAGCGGTTGAAACATTGTATCTATTTGTTTCCATTTAGGATACAGATGTTTTTATTCGGAAACAAATAGATACAATGTTTCAACCGCTGTAAATGTGAAGGAACTGTCAGAGAACTGTCAGAAATAGCGGAGCTCTCTGCAGATACACTTTTTGCTGTACTGGAATTCTTCTTCTTTTCATTCTTCTTCTTCTTTTCATTCTTCTTCTTCTTCTTCTTTTCATTCTTCTTCTTCTTCTTTTCATTCTTATTCTTCTTCTTTTCATTCTTCTTTTCATTCTTCTTCTTCTTTTCATTCTTCTTCTTCTTTTCATTCTTCTCATTCTTCTTCTCATTCTTCTTTTCATTCTTCTTCTTCTTTTCATTCTTCTCATTCTTCTTCTCATTCTTCTTCTCATTCTTCTTCTCATTCTTCTTCTCATTCTTCTTTTCATTCTTCTTTTCATTCTTCTTTTCATTCTTCTTCTTCTTCTTTTCATTCTTCTTCTTCTTCTTTTCATTCTTCTTTTTCTTTTCATTCTTCTTTTCATTCTTCTTTTCATTCTTCTTCTTCATTCTTCATTCTTCTTCATCTTCTTCTTCTTCTTCTTTTCATTCTTCTTCTCATTCTTCTTCTCATTCTTCTTTTCATTCTTCTTCTTCTTCTTTTCATTTTCTTCTTCTTCTTTTCATTCTTCTTCTTCTTTTCATTCTTCTTTTCATTCTTCTTCTTCTTCTTTTCATTCTTCTTTACATTCTTCTCATTCTTCTTCTTCTTCTTTTTCATTCTTCTTTTTCATTCTTCTTCTTCTTCTTTTCATTCTTCTTTTCATTCTTCTTTTCATTCTTCTTCTTCTTCTTTTTATTCTTCTTTTCATTCTTCTTCTTCTTCTTTTCATTCTTCTTTTCATTCTTCTTCTTCTTCTTTTCATTCTTCTTCTTCTTCTTTTCATTCTTCTTCTTCTTCTTTTCATTCTTCTTCTTCTTCTTTTCATTCTTCTTCTTTTCATTCTTCTTCTTCTTCTTTTTCATTCTTCTTCTTTTCATTCTTCTTCTCATTCTTCTTCTCATTCTTCTTTTCTTCTTCTTCTTTTCATTCTTCTTCTTCTTCTTTTCATTTTTTCTTCTTCATTCTTCTTCATTCTTCTTTTCATTCTTCTTCTCATTCTTCTTTTCATTCTTCTTCTCATTCTTCTTTTCATTCTTCTTCTTCTTCTTTTCATTCTTCTTTTCATTCTTCTTCTTCTTCTTTCATTCTTCTTCTTCTTTTCATTCTTCTTCTTCTTTCATTCTTCTTTTCATTCTTCTTCTTCTTCTTCTTCTTCTTCTTCTTCTTTCGTGCCCCGTGACTGCCCAAATGAGTGAAGTGTGCGGTGATTCTAAGATCGACGGCACTCATCTGCATGTCATACTGACTGACAGTTTTTTTCTCTTCCCCAGCAGACTCCAAGGGCATTTAAATTAAAGGTACAGTGTTCTGCACTAATATAAAGGCTCTCTGAAGCCTAGAAACCCTTTTAATAAGTTAAATTCGCAGCGAATAAATTCGCATCGAATCGAATTTCTTCCGCAAATTCGGCGAATCAGCCGAATCGAATTTTTGAATAATTCGCTCATCTCTAGTTCCAACGCTCTTGAGAATCATCGCTTCAATCAAGCCTGTTTGCGTCGAGTCTGCGTCGGGTCTTGTTGTTTCAGGTACCCCGTGGAGCTCTATTCTCAGGGACAACTACAGGAACTCTTTGAGGTTTTGAGACTATACCCATCAAGCTGAAGAAGATCAAGAAGGGACACGAGGAGAATATGATAAAACAGGAGGGAATGTCATGGAAATTTTGTATTTACAGGTTGAACTTTAAATGTGTCATATATTAGTGTTATTCATATGTCTCTCGTGTGGCTTAATTAAAGCTCTGAAGTTTGCAATTGGGCCATGCGCATTTACAATGTATGTATTACAGTACTCAGCTCGGTAATGGATGAGATGGCAGATCTGCGCTTATAGACCGGCATGTATACCACCACGGCATTCGATGCGAATGATGTCGCCGGTGGTAGGCCGTGGGCCTGTATCCACATATCAGCAGCATAGTACCACATAGACTTCGTATGGCCAGGCGCCATGCAGTGCGAACTCCCGCGTGCAGGCTCATGTATATCTTACAAACCACTACCGACCTGAACTGTATCTGGATGGATGTGTTTTAATAAAGATCGTATTGGGCCCATTCAGATACAGACTGACATTGTTTAATCTAGGGGATGCTTGTAGAGACAATGTACATACTACTAGGAGCTGATAGGATATGGGAAGTTTGCTCTCCTCAGAGAGCTCATGGGATGAAGGGAGGACTGGTGTAACTGGCTCCCAGTATAGATAAGAGGAAAGGCTATGCTCCAATTGGAATGTACATTCTGTGTATAGACACTCCCCATGCATTGTTCTGTGGGAGGGGATTGACCTGACTCATGTGGGGGGCGTGTGTGTGCTTTGAATAAAACCGGAGGCTGGGGTTGAAGCCAGGCTCTATGTGAATTCCAACAGCAACCTGAGAGTGTCGCCTGATCATTCTGGGTAACGGGAGCTCCATTTCCCCACATCCCAACAGAGCTAAACCAGTTGGAGGCGCAGGAATCGTGGAGCTAAGCTGCAGTCGCGGTATAGGTAAGAGAAGTTCGCACAGCTTTATGGGGGATTTCTGCGCATCCAACTGCGAGTAACTCACGGTGAGGAAAAATTCGTTCAAAGCGAATTTCCAAGACACTGGGCATCCGGAGGGCTCCACGTGACTATCTTTACACTCGTAAATCCAAAACTTATAAGTATAGCCTGTTGTCCTCTCACAGGTCTTCTACATCTTGACCCCATATCTGGCACGCTTGCTGGGAAGAAATTGTTTGAATGCAAGGTGGCCAGAAAAATTAATCAGGGACTCATCAACGCAGATGTTTTGCTGGGGAGTATAGACATCTGCAAATTTTTGGTTAAGGTGATTTGCGAGGGGCTGGTTTTTGTGGAGCCAGTCAAATTCATGGTCACCCCGAGGATGACAAAGTGTATTATCATTGAAATGCATAAAACACATTATACTCTCTATGCCTGGCCATGGCAGCAGAGAACACGGGCATATGATGAATTGGGTCTGTGGACCAATACAACCGCAATTCATTTTTTTTAGTAGTAATGCCTGTGTTGAGGGTTAGGCCCAAAAAAAATTTAAATTTGGAAATCGTAATGGGTTTCAAATGCAAATGATCTGGCAAGGTTTGAATTTGGGTTGGCGGTGATAAATTGTTGTGCATATGAATTGCTTTAATTTACAATCAATGCATACAGATCGTCTGTGAAAAACAGCTCCAAAAAATCAAGGGGAGTAGTTAAATTTGCTGTTTCCATCTGAATTCTGGGTTGGGCAGTGAATGGGGGAAGTATGGGTGCTGTAAAATTCGTGGGCTGCCAATCGGGATTTGCAAGCACATCCGGAAGGATACTAGGGACTCCATGGGCCTGAGTGCGAATTCTTGGTGGCTGCGGGACAATACTTGTGCTTGCCACCGCAGCAGCCTGTACAACACTTATGGGACCCACCACGTCACCAAGTGATACTGTAGTGCTGGTATTATTATTACACAGATATTATATAGCGCTAACAGTTTGCAGGAGACAATACAGCAACAATACAGTTCAATACAAGAGGGTTAGGAGGACCTGATCCTGGGAGCTTACAATCTAAGAGATATGTGAAAGACCCATGATGTACTAGGTCGCTGGTGCTCGCCAGTTCACCAAAAGGTAGCGTGGCACTAGTACTGGCACTCTGCTACATATGAGAGTCATCAAAATTTTACCGACAAGCGCTAACAGAGACCAGGCCTGATTCTGCCAACACTGCGGTTTTGTGTGCAATGTATCAAGTGACAGTGACTTATTGACACTGCACTTGCTGGGGAAAAAAGGGGAGGGTAAGCATAGGGCCTAAACGCAGGTGCTGGCAGGAGCCGGGGCTGCGTTTTTAGGGACACTATACTAATGTGAACGCTGGTATAGTGTTGATCTGATCAAAGATATGGTCTGTTCAAACACTATACTAGCAATGAAGGTTTATTGTGTATGAGCATGTTCCTGGCAATCAAGGGGTTAAATGTGATTACTGGTGTACTGACAGGCATCTGAGGGGCATGAGAAAACCAACGGAGCGTGAATCACGGTATATATGTGGCTTTTTGCGCACCCGTGCTACCCTGTTGCAGTATATCCGCTATAGGGCGGTCAGGAAGTGGTTACAGAAGCAGTTTGTGGTTACGTTGCTGCATTACTTTAACTGACAATTCTGCGGCCATGCAATGCTGCACCCAAATTAAATTTATGTCCTTTTTAATTAACGAATTGAGCTTTCTTTCCGTCGTTTTTGATTGCCTATGCATTTTTTATATTTTTCTCTATAAAAAAAAAGTCTGACAGTTTTGAGAAAAAAAAAAACAGTATTTTGGACTTTTTGCTATAAAAACATGTGCAGTAAAAAAATTTTATTTTTTTTTACTGCACATGTTTTATAGCAAAATCCCAATATGTGTAAATTAATTTGATTTACGTGGAAGTTATGGCATTTACAAAGGGAGTGGTATAAATAGTGGAAATTTTTATTATTATTTATACTAATAATGGCGGCGATCAGCGACTTATGGCGGGACTGTGGGACTGCGGCGGTAATTCTGACACTGGGAGGGAACTGACTTAGGGTCACTGACATCCCCAGTGGCACCAATACAGTGATCAGTGCAAAAAAAAAAAAAGCCACTGACACTGTACTAATGGCACTGGGGAGGAAGGGGTTTAACATTTTTAGGCAATCAAAGGGTTAAATGTGTGAGGGGAGTGTTTCACTGGGTGGCGGGGTGTACTTCACAGGAACACACTGATCCAGAAAGCTGAAAGCTGCTCTCCGGAACAGTCTGCTGGAAACTGACAGGGAAGAGAGCTGCAGTGTAAACACTGCAAGTCGCCCTCTGTCAGTGATTGCCGGTAATCACTAGGCTCCGGCAGGGAATCACCAGCTGGGACCCGGTGATTGACACCCGCGGGCGCACCCTGTACCCGATATGCAAAATCACGTATATATACACGTGATTTTGCACAGCGGTGCCTCCCTGCCACAGTTTATGTACTGTGGCTGGTTGGCAACCGGTTAAATTATTCTTTTGTTGTTTTTTTTTTAGCTGCTTTGAGCAGCAGGCCAAAACCCTGTGAAAGGATTATCTAGTCTGGCAATGAGCAGTCTCAGAGCTTTCCCAAGCAATACCTTTCAAAAAATAAGACACAGATAAACATGAAACTCACCCTGTGAAGGGGGGGGGGGGGGGGGGGGGGGGGGTGGGGGGGGGGAAGGGGGGGGGGGGGGGGGGGGGGGGGGGGGGGGGGGGGGGGGGGGGGGGGGGGGGAGGGGGGGGGGGGGGGGGGGCATGGGGGGAGGGGGGGTGGGGGGGGGGGGGGGGGGGGGGGGGGGGGGGGGGGGGGGGGGGGGGGGGGGGGGGGGGGGGGGGGGGGGGGGGGGGGGGGGGGGGGGGGGGGGGGGGGGGGGGGGGGGGGGGGGGGGGGGGGGGGGGGGGGGGGGGGGGGGGGGGGGGGGGGGGGGGGGGGGGGGGGGGGGGGGGGGGGGGGGGGGGGGGGGGGGGGGGGGGGGGGGGGGGGGGGGGGGGGGGGGGGGGGGGGGGGGGGGGGGGGGGGGGGGGGGGGGGGGGGGGGGGGGGGGGGGGGGGGGGGGGGGGGGGGGGGGGGGGGGGGGGGGGGGGGGGGGGGGGGGGGGGGGGGGGGGGGGGGGGGGGGGGGGGGGGGGGGGGGGGGGGGGGGGGGGGGGGGGGGGGGGGGGGGGGGGGGGGGGGGGGGGGGGGGGGGGGGGGGGGGGGGGGGGGGGGGGGGGGGGGGGGGGGGGGGGGGGGGGGGGTGGGGGGGGGGGGGGGGGGGGGGGGGGGGGGGGGGGGGGGGGGGGGGGGGGGGGGGGGGGGGGGGGGGGGGGGGGGGGGGGGGGGGGGGGGGGGGGGGGGGGGGGGGGGGGGGGGGGGGGGGGGGGGGGGGGGGGGGGGGGGGGGGGGGGGGGGGGGGGGGGGGGGGGGGGGGGGGGGGGGGGGGGGGGGGGGGGGGGGGGGGGGGGGGGGGGGGGGGGGGGGGGGGGGGGGGGGGGGGGGGGGGGGGGGGGGGGGGGGGGGGGGGGGGGGGGGGGGGGGGGGGGGGGGGGGGGGGGGGGGGGGGGGGGGGGGGGGGGGGGGGGGGGGGGGGGGGGGGGGGGGGGGGGGGGGGGGGGGGGGGGGGGGGGGGGGGGGGGGGGGGGGGGGGGGGGGGGGG